AAAGACAATAGGGAACTAGTGGAAGTGTTTAAATAGGAGTGACATGAGTAGATTTGTTTTTCTAGGAAGGTAATTTTGGCACCAGATTTGAGGATAAACTTGTAGCGGGAAAAAAGAAGTTCTATTGAAAGTTTGTCAAAACAATTTATAAAAAACTTGATGAGAAATGTCAGTGGAGATGGGGAAGGGAGGCTGGAACAAGAACTCTTCCTACATACCATAGGGCAGCAATTTACACTGTGGTATCCTTTATGTAAAGTAAATTGTGTGGGTCAAATTGTGTCCCTCTAAAAATTCATGTGTTAGAGCTCTAACTTCTAGTATCTCAGAATGTGACTGTACTTGGAGATAAGGTCTGTACAGAGGTATTTAAGTTAAAATGGGGCCATTAGGGTGGACCTAAATCCAATATGATGGCTGTCCTTAAAAGAAAAGGAAATTTGGACATGGAAATGTACAGAGAGTGATGATGTGAAGACACAGGAAGAAGATGGCCATCTACAAGCCAAAGAGAAAGATCTGGGGCAGCTCCTTCCCTCACAGCCCTCAGAAGGAACCAACCCTGCTGACACCTTAGTCCTGGACTTCTAGCCAATAAATACAAATTTCTGTTCAAGCCACCCCATCTGTTATGACAGCCCCGGTAAATTAGTGCAGAAATATTCTGGTATATGGTTAAATCTTCATTTACAAGACTAGGATAATAATAGTAATTGTGGTTACCTTAGAAGGAACAGTATTCAGAGGAGACCTTTCACTATATACCCTTTTATAATTATTGATTATTTAGTCATGTGAACATAATAATATTGAAGAAATAACATTTAACTAATTAAAAGTAAAACTGAAACAGGCTATTTTGAGAAAACATTATTATGATTTGTTGATATAATACATACAGGAGGATGGGTAGTTGAGAAGCAAATTGAGGATGATGTTAATATTTCTAGCTAAGAATGTTGAGTAATGATGCTTTTAAAAATTTTTTAAAAATGGAGTCTCACCTTATACATATTGAATTTTAAAACTGAGATCTAAGGGTGCCTGGATAGCTGGGTCGGTTGGGCATCCGACTTGGGCTCAGGTCATGAGTTCAAGCCCTGTTTCGGGCTCATGTGCTGACAGCTCAGAGCCTAGAGCCTGCTTCAGATTTTGTGTCTCCCTCTCTGTCTCACCCCTGCGCACGCTCTCTCTCTCTCTCTCTCTCTCTCTCAAAAATAAAATAAACATTAAAAAAAAACAAAAAAACGCCTGAGATCTACACTCAGAGATACCTGTTCTGCATGTAAAAGTAAGTTACTACGGCCTGAGGACAAACTCGGGGTAGGCATAAATCTTAATATTTCATTGACTCTGAGACAGTATCCATTGTAAGACTCAGAGAGTTTAAAATAAACAGTGTGTATCTGAGAAGCATTGAATCTGACAAAGTGAAGACGAAAGAGTTTTGTTAATATTTCATATACTGAATGCCAAAATGATATTTGTTTATACTCATCAACAAACAAGTATATTTCTTTACCCATTGTATTACACCACTTATGAAAATGGGTAATGTCACCTTAGACTTTTAAGTTATATCTCCACATATTTACATGAAATACATTTTTCTATGTTTTCTAAGTATGTAAATAATAATAAAATTGTAGAAGATTTTCTTAAAAAATAAAAATATTAAAATGGCTTATAATTCCATCACCTAGAAATAGCCATTAATATATAATTTTCTTCCAGTCTTTTTTTTCTATAAATATAGATATGTGCATACACTGAGATATTTATACAATGTTTTCTTTCTTTATTTTAATTGAGGTACAGTTGACATACAATATTCTATTAGTTTCAGGTGTACAACGTAATGATGCAATATTTGTGTGTATTGCAAAATAACCACCACCGTACGTATGGTTAACATCCATCACTATACACAGTTCCAAAGTGTTTGCTTGTGATGAGACTTTTAAGATTTACTTTCTTAGCAACTTTCAAATATGCAGTACAGTATTATTAGCTATAGTCACCATGACATCCCCATGACTTATTTATTTTATAACTGGAACTTTGTACATTTTGACCCCTTTCACCTATTTCACTCACCCCATACCCATGCCTCTAGCAACTACCAATCTGTTTTCCAAATTTATGAGATTGGTTTCTTGTTTCTCTTTTTATTTCAGGTACCACATATAAGTTAGATCATATGGTGTTTGTCTTTCTCTGTCTGAATTAGTTCACATAGTATAATGCTCTTAAGCTCCATTCATATTTTCACAAATGACAAGATTTTATTCATTTTTTATCACTTAATAATATTCCAGTGTGTGTGTATGTGTGTGTGTGTGTGTGTGTGTGTGTGTGTGCGTGTGTGTTCATCCACTCACCTGTCAATGGACATAGGCTGTCTTTATATCATGGCTATTGTAAAAACCATTGCCATAAATGTGAGGGTTCATATATCTCTTCAAGTCAGTGTGTTAATTTTCTTTGCATAAATACCCAGAAGTGGAATTGCTGGATCATATGATAGTTCTACTTTTAATTTTTTGAGAAACATTCATACTATTTTCTATAATAGTCACACCAGTCTACACTACCACCAACAGTGCACAAGAGTCCCCTTTTTTCCACATCCTCGCCAACGCTTATTATTTCTTGTCTTTTTAATAACAGCCATTCTATCAGGTGTGAGATGATCTCTCACTGTAGTTTTGATTTGCATTTCCCTGATGATTAGTGATGCTGAGCATCTTTTCATGTACCTGTTGACCTTCCCTATGTCTTCTTTGGAAAAATGTTTATATTCTCTGCCCATTTTTAATTGGATTGGATTTTAGTTAAGTGTTTTGTTTGCTGTTGAGTTGTATGAGTTCTTTATTTATTTTGGATATATAACCTTCTATCAGATACATAATTTTCTCCCATTGAGTAGGTTGCCTTTTCACATATGTTTTATTGTTACCCAGTTTTTTGACCTAGTTTAAAAATTATTTTAATGTTTATTTTTATTTTTGAGGGGGGCGGGGAGGGACAGAGAGAGAGGGAGACACAGAATCCAAAGCAGGCTCCAGTCTCTGAGCTATCAGCACAGAGCCCGACACAGGGCTCAAACCCACTAACTGTGATCATGACCTGAACTGAAGTTGGATGCTTAACTGACCGAGCCACCCAAGTGCCCCTGACCTAGCTTTATATCATGAAAAAGCTCATTAAATATTCTCTAACAAAGTTTGTTCATGGATGCAAAATACTCTATGATCTGGGTGTTCATAATTATTTGATTATTCCCATTTGACATTGAGATTGTTTCTAATATTTCATATAAAACACTTTTTAATACTTAATTTCTTATAATTTCCTGGGCTAGATTTTTATAAGTGAAATTATCTTTGCAGATAATGAGGATTCCAAGGCCTGCTATGTATTACTTTTCCTAGTATGTATTCCTAGAAATGTGGTAGCCATGTATTTCTCTTTACTGATGACGTGTGAAGATGTATATCTTACCGTCACTTGAATATTTTCTTTAAAAAAAGTCCCAGTATATATTTAGATTATTTATTATTAGAATTCTAATTGCAACAGTTATATTGTTATTCTTAGAATAAGTGTTCAGCTGTTCAGTAGAACCCAAATATCTGAAGTATAATAAATTATTAGCAACAATTTATTGGGCACCTGCCCTGAGTAATGCTAGGTATTAATCATAAGGAATGCAATGCATGCTTCTTGACTTCCGTTCATTCATAATTTCTTTTCTAGATATTTATTCTCTAGCCCTAAATTACATTAGAAAGTTTTTCCATCCCAAATGGACACATGAAAATTATAAGCCACTAATGATAGCTACTATTTCCTAAAAGGCACAGGCATCTTCAGCATAAATTGTTAGAGAGAAATACAGTGGGATGGGGAAGGGTGACTGAGTTGTAACAGATCCTTCTATCTAATTACATATACAGGTGGCAAATGCATTATTAAACTAGTGCTTAGTGTCTTATATTAAAGTGAAAATTGTAATTAAAAAGTATGTTCTCTCCTACTGTGAGTACTTTACCATAGGGGTCCTGTCTATCTGGTGAATTTGAAAAGAACATCTAAAAGTGATACTGTTCCTGTTTCAGTGAACCGCTCACTTTTCTGGTGCATCAAATCAGTATTTTAACCTGTCGAAGAACATTCATTGCATGTTTTAAATATCCAGAGCATGTTATTTATTCTTAAATGACTGCTGTGACTTCTTCTCCAAGTCTTGAATTAACTATAATCTTGGGTGGCTATGTTATGATCTCTTAGTTTTCCCACCATATTTCATTACCTCATGATAGCCTAAATTTATATTCTCAATCTTGAATATTTTATCTGCTAACGATATGCTATTTTTGAAGAAAGCCTCTGAGTGGCAGATGAGAAAACTGTCTAAAATTATATTGGCTAATAGATATCTTCCCCCTTTTTCATGTAGAATTCCTTGGTTCCAACTCTTTAAGATTCTTTTTTTGAGAAAAGGAGAATCGTATTGCTGATAATAATAACTTGATCTCTTAATAAGTATGGTTCTTAAACGTTCATGTTTTTGTCTTGCCTCTTTAAGTTGATTAAAAAACAAAAGAAACAAACAAAAAACTGCTTAGGACCGGGAGCTGTGCTTTAGGCTTCTTTTTATTTCTGTCAGATCCCAGCATAGAACATTAGAATAGTAGATGCTCACCCAGACATTTTTTGATTTACTTGTAAAATCAAAGGCTATGGATGATTACTTATCATACATAAAAACAATCAAAATATTTGTTCATTCTGATATTTTATAAAGGGGAATTAGCCATTACTTTTCACTGTTTAGTTAAAAATCCAAAGTAGGTATATGCTTGTGTATATAGGTATATAGTAGGTATATACCTTACATTTAGAATAGTTCTTATACAAGAGAATCATTGTCATTGAAAAATCACTCTCTCCTCATTTCCCTTTTCTTGTATATTTTACTGCTATGTTATTTTCAGGGACTCCTGAAAGCCTAGCTGAGAAAGAGAGGCAGCTCATGGGTATGATCAATCAACTGACCAGTCTGCGAGAGCAGCTATTGGCTGCCCACGATGAGCAGAAGAAACTGGCTGCATCTCAGATTGAGAAACAGCGCCAGCAAATGGAGCTGGCCAAACAGCAACAAGAACAGGTGAGTAAGAGCCTGAGACACAAATTCCTGAGGCATTGTTTTGCCTGCTATTCATAGGTCACTCTCCTAGGCACACAAAGACCAATAAAGCCTTTCTTCCCACCCCACATGAATAAATAAAAAGGCAAAATACAAAGTAAGCAAACAAACAAAAAACTTTGATCTGAAAAAGCTTAATCAGCTACTTCCGTGCTGTATAACACAGAAGTAATTGTAACCAAGGTGAAATTCTGATAGGTCATGCGAAAAGTACCAGATCGAATCATGGAGAGTCAAGAGAACATTTCTAGTCAAGGACGCTGTGAAAGATTTCATTCAACAGGTGTTTAGTATGAGCTTTGCAGATAAGTAGGATTCAACATATGAAGAAAATTAGTTATGGCACGGGAAGTTTAGTTAGAAGGCTATTATAATAACTTCAATAAGGAGTGAGAATCTAAACTAGGTAAGAGTCTAAACTTAAATGAACACAGAAAAAAGAGAAGGGAAGAATAAACAGGTGGAAATTTTATGATTAGTTGAGTTTTTTGAGTGGGCAAAAGAATGAGGAAAGATACTGAGCCAGGGTTACTAGGTAAAGTCAGGAAGAGGGCAATTCGGAAAAGCAGGTGGTTTTATCATATTGAATTAGAGCTGTTGGTTTTCCAACTAGAGGTATGTGAAAAACAGTAAGAAATACCAATTGACAGTTGGGAAAACAGGGCTCAACTAAATTTCTTAGACTATTTACATAGAGATGGTAGTTTAAACCACTGGAGTAGATAAATTTCATTCATTTATTCAACAGTTAGTAATCAAGTGTCTCTCATGTGCTAGGCACTGTGCTAACTTCTGAGGCTACATCACTTAACCAGAAAGATAAAACCGCTAAATTCTAGTGGAAAGAGAAAAGTGATTAACGAAGAAAAAGAGAAATTAACAAAATAATTTCAGACAGTGATATGTAATTTGATGAAATGTAATTACAGTAATTTAATAAATATTGATTGCTATGGCAAGGCAATGTTTCTTAGATTGGGTGGTTGGATCTGGCAGTTGAGTTCAGATCTCCCTGACAGAAAAGAGGCAGCCATATGAATATCTGGGGCCAGAGTGTTTCATGAAGGGGATGACAGGTTTGTAAGCCCTAAATTAGAATAGTGGTGACATCATGAGAATGGAAAGGAACTAAGGGTAGATCCTTGCGAGATAGTGGCATACAGCTGGTAGAGAAAGGAAAATGAACGATTCCAGAAAAACAAAGCTACTAGATTTTTCATTTAGTTTCTCACTGTTGGCCTTTTATGAGTGTGGCTTCTATGGAGCTTTAGTGGTAGAAATGAGACATAAGAATTGACAAATGTATAGTAGGAAAATGGAGGCGATACACAAGAACTTTCACTAAAGAAAATTGGTAGTGTTGGGAAAGAAAGAAGGGAGTCTTAGGGTGAGTTTACATATAGAGATGGTACATCTTTTCTGGGGCTAACTTCCTTTGCCATCCCCTATTCTGGGCTCAGTCCATTCACCATCCTAAATGGAAGAAGACCATTATTTAGCTACGGGTGTTTGTGTTTTCACACATCCTTGCAAAACCCTTCCTAAGCAGTTTTCTTTTTTTTAATTTAAAAAAAAATGTTAACATTTTATTTAGTTTTGAGACAGAGCATGACCGGGGGAGGGTCAGAGAGAGAGGGAGACACAGAATCTGAAACAGGCTCCAGGCTCTGAGCTGTCAGCACAGAGCCCGACACAGGGCTCGAACTCATGGACTGTGAGATCATGACCTGAGCCGAAGTCAGACGCTCAACTGACTTTGCCACCCAGGTGCCCCAGAAGCAGTTTTCAAAATGTAAACTAGCAGAGTTGAAAGAAGAAATATTCAGGTTACATTTGAGGAGACTCCTTTCAGTTTACTCTTCCCTACTTGGTCATTCATCTCTGCTTGAAAGATAATGCTTTCATGTTTAATGAAATGCCTCATCAGTTTCCTCGAAGATACATTTGGCCCGATCTTGAATATGGCCCATGTTTCTCTTGCGATATCCCTTGTGATGAAAGTTCAGAATGTTTGCCTCTGACAGTCTAGAAAAATACTACTCTTTTCTTGTTCACAATTCTCAATACTTTCAAACACCTGAATTCTAGAAAATTCTAACAGCTTCTGAAACTGTTTCTGGGATATTTCTTTTTAGAGAATCCCTCCTTTGGTGGATCTAAGGGCATATTTGTCCTGAAAAATCCAAGCGATCACTAATAAAGAGCACAGTCCTCTTCATTCTTCTTTCACATTCTGGCCCATCTGCACACATCATCAAAAGATTCTAGAATTTTTTTTACTTTTTCTGACATTATCCTTGGAATGTTAGAAATCATTAGGTTCTTCCAGAATTTCTCTCCTCTGTTGGAGAGATGCTAAGCAATGATGCCTGCATAGCCTGAGAGAAGATCCCCTGTGAAAGCTTCAGGTCAGATTTCTAGAGGCTGTTTTGTTCCCCAAGATCTTCTCTACCATGCAGTGCTGGCATGCATAACCACCAAGCTTGTGATCACATTTATCTTTTCATTAGGACACAGGGAAATCTCTGAAACACATTTAATACTTACTCCTTAGGATTCAGGTTAAGTGTATCTTCTCTTGAGAACTCCTTTTCTGACCTTCCTTTCCAAACTCCCTACTCATTGTAGGGTGTCCCTACTCTGTACACTCTACTGTTCCCATTACAGCCCTTAGAGATGCTAATGAACCTGTTTACTGATCAGCTTTGCCACTGGACTCTGCCACTGCCATTCCACATCTTTCATTCAACAAATAACTACTGAGCACCAATTTGATGCCAGGTTCTGTTCTAGTTACTGGGATACAGCAAGGAATAAAACAGACAAAAATTCCTAATGTGTTGAATTCTAATTAGGAAAAGATAGTAAATAAACAGGTAATATATAGTAAATGTTGATAGGGGATATAAGTAAAGGAGAGAATTAGGGATGTGAGTACCGGGTAGAGAAGCTCTTTTAAAATGGGTGATCAGGGAAGACCTCACTGACAGGGTGACATTTGAGCAGAGACTTGCAGGAGATGAGGGAGTTAGCAGTGCAGTTATCTAGGGACAGAGGGTTCCAGATGGAGGGGAAAGCAAGTGCAAAGGCCCAGAGGCAGGTATATCCATGGGAGATAAGAGCATCCTTGGTGTGTTCAAGAGACAGGAGAGCAGTGTTGCAAGAGTAGGGGAGGGGTGGGTACAAAGGGAAGAGCAGGAAAAGGTGAAACCAGAGAGGCCAAATCATACAGGGTCTTGCAGGCATCATATGGACACTGGCTTCTGCTCTGAGTGAGAGGGTTTTGAAAAGATAAATAACATGACACAACTTATATTTTAAAAGGATCTCTCCAGATACTGATACATAATAGGCTGTAGGGAGCAAAGGCAGAAGCAGAAAGAGCAATAGGAGACTATTATAATTATCCAGAAGGAGAAAGCAGTGGCTTGGAATGGGAGGAAGTGTGGAGGGGTGTGTGAAGTGGTCAATGTCTTGATGAATTCATAAGGTGCTGAAAGAAAGATTTAAATTTAAACTTCAGCTGAAATGATATGTGGGAGGAAAGGACCAGATTTAAGTAAAAGAGGGATACTCCTTTTCCTACCATTTATTTCCTGCTTTCTTCAGGGGAAAAAAAAATTGATTTTTAAAAACCCTGTTCCTAAGATAAAATGAAAGCACGTAAATAACTATAATTTGTACCAGTGCCGTTAAGGGAAATAAAAAGTTAATTGTGCAGCCAGGTAGACCCATGTTCCTCATACAGTTTCTTTACTTTCACTCAGAGTAATGGACCCTGCAGGTGTCAAATTTTTCCTGAATTTTTAGCTTTGTGATACAGAGATTAAGGGACATACATTTATAATGAAAACAATCTTCATTATAACATGATGAGAGTAAGAATTAGAGCTTATTTATAAAAGAGTGATACTTTTTATGAAGTTAGAAGTTACATTCTCATGAGAAGGTTTCCTACCTGACAGCATGTAATAAAGTATTTAAAATTTTCTTCTCATCTATTCATTCATGCTTTCTTCATCAATATTCCTTCTGTACCAGGCTTTGCACAGTGAGTAAAATATACACGATTCCTCACCTCACTGTATTTATGGATTTCGACCTAGTTGACAGTAACATGTTAATTAAAACAAAAATAAGATAAAGATAAAATCATAGTATGTTATGTAGTATTAAGTAAATGTATAAGGTGTTATAAGAGTGAATAACAGGAGGTCATTGTGCTAGTCCCTGGCTTAGAAAACACTCAAAGATGACTGCATGGAGGGCTAAGTCCTGAGTTTAGTTTTGAACTTGTTGAATATGAAGTATTCTTAGGAATGCCATTGGAAAAATGGGTCTGAAGCTTAACACAAAGGTGTGGTCTAGAGAAACAAATTTGTAAACCCTTGGCACCTGGGGGGAAGAATTGAGTCTAAAATCGAGCCATATGCAACTATGGCATTGAAAGGCTGGACAGGGCGATTGAAGGTAACTATGAAGAAACAGACTGAGGCAGGAGCAAAACCAGGGAAATGTGATGTCATAGAAGTCAGGGAGGATAGTTCAGATCGAGGGAGAAAACTTCAGTGTTGAATTTTGATGAAAGGCCAAAAGGCGAGGTCCAAAAGACACTTTAGAGTTTAAAAAATGACGTTAACGGTGACTTTTACGAGGAATCTTTTTAGTGGGAGCAGAATCCTTAAGACTGGGAGCAGAAACCATAATGGAGTGCATTGAGGACTTAGCAGTTTAGGGGTTTGTGGGAGGTAGAAATGAGGGCAGTATTTATGAAAAAACAACAACCCAAAAAACAAAAACAAATACCAAAACCTCACGAAGGCATACAGCCTCTCCTAACACAATATTTTGTGCTACCCTGAACTCCCAGGTGAAAATAACCCCCTGTTGACGCGATACTTTCTTTTGTAGAAAAGAGCTAAAAAATGCCAGAGGCAGTACGCTCTTAATGTATTGCCTGGAAGGAAGAGGGATTTTTGACACTCTACCATTTCATACTGGATTCGATCACTGTCATAGTGTCCTAGGCCTCATTTGTTTTAGGCCAAAAGAAACTGTTCCAGAAGACTAAATACCTTGTTTGATCTTACTTAAGAGTGAATTGCTGGTACCGTGTAGAGGCACAGGCACATCTATTTTCATCATCTTAATCAGTGTCAAATCAAACTTTGAGAAACAGAACATTGGTAATTTCCCCCTGGGACAACAATATACTTTTAAATTTTTCATGTGCAATTTCTCCACAGATTGCAAGACAGCAGCAGCAGCTCCTGCAGCAACAACACAAAATCAATTTGCTTCAGCAACAGATCCAGGTCAGAAATCATAATTTCATACATACTTCCAATTAAATATATATATATATATATATATATATATATATATATATATATATATATATATATATATATATATTCTGTTTCTAATTTTTAGATCACCTTACTGGAGTGACCTCCAACAAAAACATTATTTTTGGCTTAATTCATGCCGTGTTACCTCCTGTGCCATGAGAATCTTGCAAATGGTGGCCATCACAGGCCCTACTATGTCAGGAAGCTCCATTCTGAGCAAGCGGACAGTCATTTTCATCCTTTACCGAAAGGAAATTATTGCAGAGATATGTTAAAAAGATTTCATTTGCTCTATTCTTTAACATGCCCATCAGTGTTCTTAATGAATGACATGCAGGGGAGGCAAAGCAAAAAGGTATGGCAAGTTTGTTAGAGAGCAGTGGCAGAGAGTATGTTCTACCGTATGCTCAAGAGCCACACGCGATAGAGGTTGAGGTTAGGGAAGGTGATGAATTTCACCCTTCATGTTGCCTGGAGGAACCAAGAGCAAGGACTCTATGTGCATATAGACATGTTCTATGCATATTTTGCTTATATGGAAACGTGTGATGGTGAGGAGCCATCCATGAAGAACAAGAAAGCAGCTATATTGCCAACAAAAAGAAAAAATAAGTTGTCAGAGATGTCCAGTCTTCACCACTTGCTAGCGGCATGAATTATGACAAAATTGTTTCCCTTTCTGAAAATTTCCTTTCTGAAAGCACTTATTTCATAGAGTATTTATGAGGATTTAATGGAGTTACGGGTGGAGCATTTCAGCATAGTATCAAGGCACACAGTAGGTCCTCAATACATACTTGCTATTACTAGCAAGAAAGGGAATCTGATTCATAGAGCTATGAATCCAACCCTATGTAACATTACCCTTTAGAAGCATATGTTAGAGAAGAGGAATTCATCATTATCTTGGACTTCTATCTTGAGATGCCAACATATTTTATTAAGAAGAAGTTTATCATTCTTTTGAAGTTCTATTTTGAGAATCTAGCATATTTATTTTATTAAGTTTAAATACCATAAGAGACAGAAGCAAACACGTCTACATTAGTTCACTTTTGTATTTAATCACATTTAGACTTCATTGCCAACGAAGTTTAGCCCATTTTACCTAACTGGGTCAAGTACACTTCATTTCCCTGGATTATATAGCACAATCAGGGTTTACTCGTTCTTGGGGCACCTGAAATTTTAGTGAGCTAGTCACAGGTTGGTGAGACAGAGAAACATCAGTGAGATGATCCAGCCAGGATTCTTTGCTTTCCTTCACTGTAATGACAAGCAGCAAATCCTAATGTGATGTTATATATGTTCATATCTGGCAAGTGGTTTTTCAGTGGTTTAAAACTGTTCATTGGACTTCCTGTTCAGTCTAAGTATGCTGTCTTTGAATATAGTTTTAGTTGATGAGACCAGGTTAACTACATTTAATATGTTTTTAATTATTGAAAATCTAAAACAACAAAATGCTTATGGCAACTTCTCATTATCAATAAGCAATTCCATAATCAACAGTATGGCCCTTTGCAAGTCACTCGGTTTCACTGTAATTTGAAGACACACCGGTGATTTTAAATTTTTGTAATTTTTGTAATACTGAGATAGTCCTTTGTTAAACAGAATTGCAAAAAAATATCTAAACCAGTAGTATGAATACGTAGAAGGCTCATAAACTATGTCACCTGACCATATAAATTTAGCCAACACCTTCAGTAGTTCTTTTGGAGTCCTGCCACAGTTACGACCACTACGTTCAAATGTGGATTTTAAGCTCAGTCATAGTGGCCCAGTGTTGAAATGGATAGATTCCTTGCACCAGAGCACGGAGCACTACAATTTATAAGTCAGAGAATTTTTAAAATGAAGTTCCTTAACATTTACCTGCCCTAGAAATGATATGACTATGGAAACTGTATTCCAGAGAGCTAAAGCCAAGTTTAATGGCTTGCCCAAGATTACACAACCATTTACAGGTTGCACTAAGATCAGAAGCAAAGTTTTCTGACTACTCGTAGAAATTTTGCTGAATATGAGAATTTTAAAAGCTTAAAATTTCTATGATCAAACTGTTAAGTTGCTGGCCTCCACTAGTTCACAGAGTGAGAAAAAAACAAAACACCAATAGTCCCTAAAGGAATTAATGTCATACTAATAGTAATTTTAGGAAAACATTAAGAGATGTTGAGATACTGCATCTATTTATTTGTCCTCTTTCTAGTGTTAGCACAAATAAATGATACTGACAGAGTCAAAACCCATTAATCTATTATTTTTTTTTAATCTTGGAAGTAGGGAATCTTTCAGGCAAAAAAAAGGTACTGAGCAAGACTGATGATCTGAAAGGAATTCATTTTCACAGCTTCTAGTATATTCATTAACTAAAAGCATAGTTCTAAAGTATATTTTATAAATCATTGATTTGGGGAAATCTCACAAATACTTAACAATTATGAAAGTCACAATATATTTAGTCTAATGAGAGATTGTTCAAACAGTTATGGGAAGGACTTCTGTAGTGACATGTGTAGAAATAGATGATTAAAAATGTAGAACAGATACTTTTATTTGCTCGTATAAATCCTTACCATATTTCTCTTTCAGAATATTTTCTCTCCCTTTCTTCTTCTTCCCTCATCCCGCTTTCCTTAGCAGCATATAGCAAGGAAGAAGAGTAAAAATCAAACTTGCTATAGTAGAAGGCAAATCAAAGTCATCAATATTGTTACAAAATTTATTTTTGTCAGTGCTCACATAATCAATGTTTACATAAGAATTTATAATAGATTACATTTACTTGATATCTGAAAGTACTTAGGTAGTATATTTTGAATTTGATCTACTTCCTTTTTCTTCTATATGGAGACTAAGACCTTATAGAAATAAACTTACCTACTTACATTGTTCATCCTGATTGCATTTTCTTACGTGTTATGCCATTGTTGCTTTGGGCTTTAGAAAACAATGCATTCCAGTTCCTTTGTTGGTAGAATAGTGGACTGAAATGTTAGTAGACCACAATTAAGGCCACCTTTAAGCTTTCGGTTGCAATTATAAATATACAAGACATTAACTTGGCCCAAATGTTGGTAAAGGCATGCAGTACATTAGATAGGTAGGCAGATCTACTAGATGGATTAGATTGACAGGATAGAAGAGCAGGACAAATTTTCACCCTTGATGGCTATGTTAACTGATATGAGGATGATGTTCCCCAGCATTTCTTCATTTTACTGAGATCTCTTTAAAGGAGAGGTTAATTTAGACATTTTTATTCCATTTGAAGTATATGTCATTCAATTAAAAAATGTATGAACATGTTTATACTTGTCTGTGTATGCACAAACATTCACATATTGAAATGTCCCAGGTTATTAAAATTTCTCTTGGCCTGTTATTTCTGTCTCTTCTTTCCAGATGAAAAGAGTGGTAGTAGGTTTTACTCTGTAGTTATTTATTCAAAGAGAAAATGCCATAAGAATTAGCAAATTCACCCATTTTATTCAATCACTTAGGGTCAATTTTTATGAACTGTTTTTCTCTCTTTAAAAAGCAGACTTAACTCTGCAATTGCCTGATTGTAATTGGATTGACAACTCAATCTACATTACTTCCTTATAAAGACTTTATAAGTTATAGTCTTCTAAGACTTTATGAGTTATAGTCTTCTAGGTCGATTCACATAACACATTAGGATAAAAGAAGAAACAAGAAAGCTCTCTGTTATTCTCTGCAACATCAAAAATCAGTTCATTCTACAAATAAAATCATGTCATAATACCAAAAATATCTTGTCTTCCCACAAGAACTTGTCTGTTTCTTTATGAGACTCTTAGTTCTAGGGACACTAAGAAACTTCTAGTCTGGTTTTTCTCCCATTCAGCAGTGTTTTCCTTTAATATTTTTGTTTACTGTCCTTAAAAAAATAGAATTTTTTGCATTCCTACTTACTGTAGATAGCTCACTCTTAATACACATTAATATGTGAGATAAAATTTATAGATATTTCAGAGAAAAATAACTTTAGATTTTTTTAAAGATAACCTTTTTTTTTTCTTTTACTCTCTTGCTTATGCTAAGTGCCTATCTTTTAGCAGTTTTATTTTCTGACTAATCTCTTTTTTTATGTTAAATCAACCTGTTTCTAATAGGGACAGTTAGGTGGTTTATGTTTCCAATAATGATCCTAGACCAATGGTTAATCTTGACTTCATTCACCGTTACCAAAACCTTTTAAAATAAATGAATGAGTGACCTCTACTCACCTTCCATTAAGGCAACAAACTGAATGCCCCGGAGACTCAAGTTCCTTTTTATCTTGAAGCTTTGTGTGGGACAGGATTTCTTTAGCTTTGGGAGTGAGTGGGGGAAGCATGTCCTAGTTTAAAATTTTTTTAATCCTTTTTCAATAATACTCAATGGAATTTTATTTAGGCTCTTATTAGCCTCTAATAGGGTCAGTCCAACAACATGCTCTAGTAGGAAATCCACTTCAGATAATGGTAAGAGAAATTTTAAAGATGTGCTTCTTTTAAAATGCATATTTGTCATGATTCCCGTACTGAAAGTTCAGTGTTTGAATTTTCTTAAGAGATTCCACATATCTGTTGCCTTCTCCCTTTTGACAAACTTTTCCAACTGTTGTTCATTGTGTTCTTTTAGGGTCAAAGATTTGATATTTAATAATCTCCTTATTGTTTCTGATTCATAAGGTATGCATTTGCAGGACTAGTAATAGATCTGGGTCACTGATTCTGTCTAGAGCTAAGGGTAGAGCAAAGGACAGATCTTTGTTCGTTTGTATTCTGGGCTGGTCAGTGTATATTCAATGGTATGTAAGGAAGAGCTTGGCTCTTTAGGTGGTATAGGACTACATTTAGCTGTGTGAAATATAACTTTAATTGTATTAAATGACTAAAAATGAAGATAGAGAGCAGGGTCTCTAGAATTAGACATACCTAAATTCAGTC